GTTAGTGTTAGTGTATATATATATATATATATATATATATATATATATATATATATATATATATATATATATATATATATATATATATATATATATATATATGTGTGTGTGTGTGTGTGTGTGTGTGTGTGTGTGTGTGTGTGTGTGTGTGTCCTGTTTTCACCGCCACCAAAGTAGTGTCCATCCGCCTTGTCAGCCTGGTCTGAATTTGATTGGTAGCGTACCTGCACGACTTTGTCGGGAATGTTCTATTTTTAGAACAGAGTGGTAGGTAACCATCTGGCATTGAAACCTAGATTGTACTTCCGGTACAACCCCGTGTACAGGCTCACCTCGCGTGAGCATGACATGCACACCACTATACCGTTGCTCGTATCACAATGTCCGGTGCTAAAACTTATTACTACGCTGCGTGGCCTTTATAGTACACAGGACTCGACACACCACTATACCGTTGCTCGTATCACAATGTCTTGTGCTAAAACTTATTACTACGCTGCGTGGGCCTTATAGTACACAGGACTCGACTTAAACTGCAAGACCATGCAGGTGTCCTTCTACACTCCCCCACAGATCCGTCTGCTTCCCCATCACTTGTGGCTCATCCGCTGAGCATATGCTGTTGGCACGTTCTCATACTCACACGCACACACTGGGCATATGCTTATGTTACGTTCCCATACTCTCTCACACACACACTGGGCATATGCTTATGTTACGTTCCCATACGCACACACACACACACTGGGCATATGACACACACACTGGACATTTGCTTATGTTATGTTCTCATACTCACACACACACTGAGCATATGCTTATGTTACGTTCCCATACTCACACACACACACACTGGGCATATGCTTATGTTACGTTCCCGTACTCACACACACACACACTGGGCATATGACAGACACACTGGACATTTGCTTATGTTATGTTCTCATACTCACACACACACTGGGCATATACTTATGTTATGTTCCCATACTCACGCACACAGAGGCGATGCAGCTAATGCGTCAAGGCGACAAGTGGGAGATGTACATCCCGTCCGAATTGGCATACGGTGACAGGGTATGTGACACTGTGAATGGCTGTAGTTACTTTAGGTATGACAGGGTACGTGACACTGTGAATGGCTATAGTTACTTTTGATATGACAGGGTACGTGACACTGTGAATGGCTGTAGTTACTTTGGATATGACAGGGTACGTGACACTGTGAATGGCTGTAGTTACTTTGGATATGACAGGGTACGTGACACTGTGAATGGCGTAGTTACTTTGGATATGACAGGGTACGTGACACTGTGAATGGCTGTAGTTACTTTGGATGTGACAGGGTACGTCACACTGTGAATGGCTGTAGTTGCTTTAGATATATCCGGGTAGTGTTTAGTAAACCACGAGAGCTCGAACTTGACGAGCGCCTTGCACTGTGTATAGCAGGTGTATTGGTACACGGTGGAAACCAGGTACATTCGTACTATGTAAACCAGGTTTATTAGTACTGTGTATAGCAGGTGTATTAGTACGCGATGTATATACTGACAAGAACTTCGGTCCTTGATTACTTTATAACCGTGGTTCTAGCCCTTGAGGGATAACATATATACACTCCACCCAACCAATCCATCCGAGTATGGTCACCTTCCTGAACACATACGTACGCTATGCCCCATTCATCAGGGTGGTATGATCCCCTCCTGAACATATACGTACGCTATGCCCCATTCATCAGGGTAGTCTGATCCTTCCTGAACACATACGTACGCTATGCCCCATTCATCAGGGTGGTCGGATCCCTTCCTGAACACATACGTACGCTATGCCCCATTCATCAGGGTGGTCTGATCCCTTCCTGAACACATACGTACGCTATGCCCCATTTACCAGGGTGGTATGATCCCGGCAGGGGCTGTGCTTATCTTCACCATGGAGATAGTCAAAGTGCACGAGACGCCGAAGCCAAAGACTGAGCTATGAAATGAGGCTGTACAGGTGCGTGTGAGTGCATATCATAAACGTTTGTTTGCCTCGTAGTCTGTTGTGAGTGCATATTATAAACGTTTTTTTGCCTCGTATTCCGTTGTTGTTGTATTGTGTACCTTAATTTCTGTGATGGATGTAGTGAGCGCGCAGGCATTGATATGTGCTAGGCTTTACCGGCTGTTAGGTTGTGTATAGTGACTCGGGTGTCTATTGGGTCTTCAGTGTAGGCACCCTTGTAGGCTGCCTCGTAGTCGGTTCGGTTGGTGTATTCCATAAGAACATGATCCCGCACAGACACTGGTTGACTACTCAGGTGCGCACACTGCCACGTCAGAAGCGGACACACTAGTTCAATTAAATTAGTTTAGCGAAATTAGTTTAGTTGAATTAATTTAGCTAAATTGGTTCAGGTAATTTAGTTTAGCTAAATTAGTTTAGTTGAATTAATTTAGCTAAATTAGTTTAGTTGAATTAATTTAGCTAAATTAGTTCAGTTAAATTAGTTTAGTTAAATTTAGTTACATTGCAGTCGTATTATACTTTAGTCTCTACACATAACGTGGGTTCTAGCCCCACCATACGTTTCTGCTATGGAGTACTGTGCCCGTACATGGCAGCGGAATAAGAAACGTCCACACAGTATCCTTCATCCTCACAGTGTGTAATGTGCTTCACTACTTATATTTCTCAGTAGACCTGATTGGCCTATCCTATTTAAATCAATGTATATTGTCGTACCAAACATCTTGCGTCTCTGTCTGCCCCACAGGATGACTCACAGGACGATCCCCAACTCTCCACCTTCATGGTGTTGATGTATGTGGTGGGCATGGTCGCCCTGGGGCGTTTTGTACTATCTGCCCTCAAAACTATTCGAGTATAAGGACTTTCGAGCACTGCCGAGTGCTATATATATATG